CCCCGCCACAGCCAGGTCCTCCACAAGCCTCTCCCTCACTCTTGACTCTGAGCCCCCAGCCTAACCTTTGCCCTGTTCTTCCTCTCTCCTCAGGCCTGAACTCCTCCACCTCCCGATCGTCCTGCACACAAACCCGAAGCTCTACCCACTCCTCCCTGACACCCAGATTCTAGCCCCTTCCCTGGACTTCACTGTCAAGCCATACCTTTCCAGCACCCTCCACTCCCAGCCTCTCCCCCGCCTATCCTCCCCACCTCCACGCTCCTTGATCCTTCTAAAACCACGGAAGGCCAAGACTATCAGAGATGGTGCAGACCCCTTCCTCTCACTGTCCCTCCCCCGATGTTGGACAGTAAGGGCAGTAAGCAGACCCCGCCCCACACAGAGCGGTGACTCGCTCCAGAAAATGAGTTTGTTGGCTGAGAAGCCAGGGCTAGCCCCACCGGGCCCCATCTGCCACCCAGGCCCCTGCCTCTCCATGTCCTGTGTTACCTGGGCCCTTGGGTGGGCAAGCTTGCAGGCCAGCCCCATCCTCCTCCTCTTCCTCTTCCTCTTCCTCCTCCTCCTCAGCCCCCTGGGCCCCCAGGCCCTCGGACTCTCCGCAGGCCCCAAGCCCCAAGTGAGCATCCCAGCTGTTGCTGATGACTTCCTTCTCCCGGGGACTCCAGTGCAGGGAGTAGGGGTGCTTTTGGCGGATGTGCCGTTTGATGGTGCTGAGCTTGAGCGTGGCCAGCGAGCTGCCGCACACCATGCACACCATGCCGTGGCGGGCAGGGTTGAAGTCCATCAGGTACTCCAGCCGCCAGTGGTCGTGGTAATAGCGCCGGTGGTCACGGCCGGGAATGCGGCTCTTTCCAGGCCTCGAGGCCCGGGCCTCACAGTGGTCTGAGTATTTCCTGCCTGAAGGTGCTGGGCCCCTGGCCCTGGAGGAGGGCAGGGGGGCACTCCCCCAGGACCCCAAGGCACCCCCTTCCAGCTGAAGATCTTGCCCTGAAGAGGGGAGGGAGAAGGGGAGACAGTTTTCAATGCCCGATATCCAGGAAACAAACCCAGGGCTTGGATTTTGCAGAGAAAGGGAGGTGGGGGGAGGGGTCGTTCGGCAGGGGGGAGGGGGGAGGAAAGGGATGACAACAGCAATAAAAGGGATGCGGGAGAGCCTGGAGTCAAAACGCTGGCCCTTTACAAAGAGTGAGGACCCTTTAAGAGAGGACCAAGAACAAAAGGATGCCGAGCACTGCTGAGGGACTAGCTCTGACTTTTTAAAAAATAAGGTGAAGGCCAAGGCGGCAGCCAGCTCTGTTCGGCCCCCTTTCTGGCGGCGGGCTGTGAGGGGAAAGCCAGGAGAGCAGCAGGCCGGGCCCTTACGGCCAGAGCAGAGCTGGCAGTGGCAGAACAAAGGGGGCATCTGTCTGCATCCAGGGCTGCACACGGGACCCACCCGTCTGAGGCCCCAGCCAGGAGGGCCCCACCCAAACATCATCTCCCTTTTTCCAATAATGCCTCAAAGGCAGCCTTCTGAGAGTCCGGTGCTAAGCCTGGTCAGTTCCCCAAATGCAGGCACCCATGGGAGGGATCCCCATGACAAAGCTGTCAACACCTCCAGGGAAAGGAGTTTCTAGGACCCTGACTTCCCTACAGTCTGGGAGAGCCGATGACCCTGCAAGGGGATGGCAGGAGGGCCACCGGAGTGGCTACTGAAGATTCTGGGGAAGGGAGTGGCCACCACCCACTGGAGCCCATTAAGTCTTTCTAGGGGTTTATTTTTTGCTCTGGCAGAGAGCCGGCCACTGCCCAGCAATCAAGGGGCAGGCACGGAGAGGCCCAAGCACAGCACACTAACCCAGCAGTGTGCCCTTTTGCCAAACAGGCTGACACCCCAAGCAGTCCCCCACCTTCCCTGCAGTTTGGACCCGATTTTATTTAGAAAAGGGTTTCCTGGCCACATAAGCTGAATGGACAAGTGTGGTCGTGCTCCCACTGGAGAATCTCAGGGTCAGAGAAACAAAAGACAGGACCAGAGAGGACTCCTGTCACCATTGTGGTTTTTTGTCTGTTTTGATTTAAGTAGATCCAAAGCAAAAAGCATTGGCTTCCAAGTCAGAGACCTCGGTTCCAGTATGGTTTCACTGGTAACTTGCTCTGTGATCTTTGATAAGTCATGTGGCTCTCTGGGCCTCAGACTCTTTGTCTGAAAAGGCACTGGGTAGCTAGCTGGTCTCTAAGCATCCTTCCAGCGCCGGATCTAAGCTAGTCTAAGGTGGATTGGCCCTTTAAGAGCCCAAAAAAGGGGAGGAGCTGAGATTCTTTAAAAACAAAAGGGGATGGGGAGTTTCTGGGAGGGGAGCTCCGAGATTAGGGCAGAGTCTCCCTAGCCCGGACAGAACCGTCACGGGTCTTAAGGCGGTGACCCTGCAGCAGGGAATGAAGAAACAGCGTCCTCTAAGAGCGAATGGGGAGGACGGGCTGGTCCTACTATAGCTGACAAATTGTGGCAAAAATTTCTGAAAAGAAGGGAGGCGATAACGCGCGGACAGGAGGGGGTATCTGCCTTTGTGAGCGAGCCCATCCCTTTAAAAACTACCCGCGGTGGGTTAAGGTAGCGGCGGCCTCCCCCCCCCCCCCCCCCCCCGGCGAAAGCCATGCGCTTTCCTAGAAAGAACGTGCCGGGGGGCGGGGGGGGAGAGAAAGGTTTCCTGTCTGTAAGCAAGGCCACGGGAGGGGAGGAGCAGCCCGACTTAAAGCAGCGGAGTTCCCAGCTCAGCTCCTCTGTGGGGGAAGCCCCCCGAAAGGGACCCCCCCCCCAGTCTGGGCAGACTTTTAAGAGACAGCCGGATAAGGGAGACCACCTGGGAGTCTGAAAGAGAAAGGGGCGGGGGCGCAAGTCCAACAACCCACAGCGCGTGCCCCGTGGCGCCGGGCCAGGCCCTTTGGGGACCCTCCGACCTGGCCTCTAAGGCGGGGGCTGCGAGGCCCTTTAAGGGGGAGGGAATCCGCCCGAGCCCCGCGGGCGGACCCCGGGAGCTGGGCGGGGGGCTCCCCCGCTGGCCCTGCAGCAGCGATCCGCGCCCGCCAGGTGGCGCCCCCGGC